TACTCTTCAGCATCACGGCGGATTGTGTTGGGTACAGTTTGAAAAGTGTAACTCTACCAAGTCCCAAATGGCCTTAATGACCCTGACTGGCAGATGTTAAACTTTACAAACTTGGTTCAGAAAGTGCATAGGGTCATAGGAATGAAGGCATGTTTTGTTAAACAGGCATGTTTGATTAAAAAAAAAAAAAATTACAGATTTTTTAAGGGGAAAAATTGATTTTGTTTTAGGGCTATCTTCCACCAACCAAAAACGGTGTTGAACCAAAGCGACCTAGCCGACCAATCAACATTACCTCACTTGTCAGATTGTCTACGACGGTACCAAATACAATCATTGTTTCGTGGACTGCAGAAATTGGAAGAGTGAGTTATTTTTGGTCCTATCTATGTATTAGAAATGTTGTTTCCTACTGTGTGGTACGGTATAATGATAACATAATAAACCAGATTAATTTTGGGGGGTGGAATGCTGGTGGAATAGCAAAATGTGAGCAAGGATTTCTTGTTTATCCTGTTTTTTAGTCTGTGCCTATATGCGACTGCTTGTTACTGAGTAGAGTAGATTAATTAACTGCGCAGTAAATGTCTTGACGTCTATGCCTGCACCCCTGTTAGGTTGGAGTAAATTAATTTGTTCCTCAGCAGGATCGTACTTGTATATACAAGATCCTGCTGTGAAGTAAAAAACTCCACAGCAGTGCTTGCGTAGATGCTGTCTGGGGCTGTGCGAGGCTTTGGACCATGTTTCGGATCTGGAGAAGCTTCAGACGCTTCGGCGTCCGAAGCAGCATGTCCGGATCGAAGTGCTGGCTTTGTTAGGCTTTCTGTTCGGAGCTCCCGAACCGCTTCGGAAAAGCTTCAGAGCCGCCACGGAGATCCGGCCATAGGGCATAATTAGTGCTTGCGTAGATGCTGTCTGGGGCTGTGCGAGGCTTTGGACCATGTTTCGGATCTGGAGAAGCTTCAGACGCTTCGGCGTCCGAAGCAGCATGTCCGGATCGAAGTGCTGGCTTTGTTAGGCTTTCTGTTCGGAGCTCCCGAACCGCTTCGGAAAAGCTTCAGAGCCGCCACGGAGATCCGGCCATAGGGCATAATTGGGAATCAATGAAATATTTATAACTTTGTTTTTTGTCTGATTTAGATGCAACTGTCAGGGGTGGTAGCCTCTGCTGAGAGCAAGGAGCCTGCCAAGTTTCAAGAAGATCGGTGCAGGGGTTTGGGGGGAACTGTACCCCAGATTCTTGAAAGCAAAACTTTTATGTCATGTGTATGTGTTACACCACAGGGGACTGAAAACTGCAGGGGTGGTGGCCCCTGGTGAGGCCACAAATCCTGCCAAGATTCAAGGAGATAAGTGCAGGGGTTTGGGGGAAACTGCACCTCAAGCTGTGGACAAGCAAAACTCGTGCCATGGGTGACACTGCGTGTGCTAAGGTGCAGCGGGGTGACAGCTGCAGGGATGGTGGCCCCTGCTGCGCCACAACGCCTGCCAGCTGTGGAGGAGATCGGTGCAGGGGGGCTCTGGGGCCCTACACCCCTAGCTGCTGACGGGCAAAACTCGTGCCATGGGTGCTTGTGAGACTGACTGTGTCTGTCTTGGGGCAGTTGCTTGTCTGTATTGCATATTTCCTCTCCTTAGTCTGTGGTTTTGTAGGTGTTAACGAGCGATGATTAACACCTACTTAACACAGTCTAAGCAGAGGAAATAATACAGACAATCAGCTGCCCCAGAATGGAGACAGTCAGTTGCACAAGCACCCATGTCACGAGTTTTGCCCGTCAGCAGCCAGGGCTGCAGGGCCCCAGAGCCCCCCTGCACCGATCTCCTCCACAGCTGGCAGGCGTTGTGGCGCAGCAGGGGCCACCATCCCTGCAGCTGTCATCCCGCTGTGCTTTAACACACTCAGTGTCACCCATGGCACGAGTTTTGCTTGTCCACAGCTTGAGGCGCAGTTTCCCCCAAACCCCTGCACCGATCTCCTTGACACTTGGCAGGCTTTGTGGCCTCACCAGGGGCCACCACCCCTGCAGTTTTCACCCCCCTGTGGCTTATCACATACACATGACATGAGTTTTGCTTTCAAGAATTTGGGGTGCAGTTCCCCCTGAACCCCTGCACCAATCTTCTTGAAACTTGGCGGGCTTCGTGCTCTCAGCAGAGGCTACCACCCCTACAGGTTTCATCCAAATTAGACAAAAACCAACCAAGTTATAGCTATCTCATTGATTCTCCCATTATGCCGTATAGCTGGATCTCTGAGGCAGCTCCAAAGCTTCAGAGCTGCTTCGGCCGGATCGAAGCGGGAACCCGGTCCGGAGCTCCAGATTGGATCCCTGGCATCTGTAGCAGCCGGATCCTAAGCCGGATCAAGTAGCTGCCTACTCGCACAGACCAAATGCTGTCCTATCTGGCTGTGGTGCAAAGATGCTTCAGTGCAGGGGCTGCCTGTCTGCTAGCCCCTCACTGATGCACCCTCCTGCCTCAGCCAGCCACCCTGCAACACATTGGGCCGGGGTGGGGAGCAGCCCTCGGCTGGCAGGCTTGCTTCCCCTTCCCTTGCCCAACCCCGACCCACTGCCAGCCGGGGCATTCTGCGCTGCTGGGTGCACGTTCAGTCAGTGCAGCCAGGAGCAAAACTCCGGAGCAATAAACTGGAGGTTATTGCTTCGCATTAATTACAGTGTAGATGTAGCCATTGAAGAACAGATTTGTAATCCTGCCTTGCTAGGGCAGGAAAGCCAATACAGGCAAAGTCAAAGGTCCCCCAGAACCTCGTAGCTCTTTAGACTAGCACTGTTAAGGAATGCCGGTTTCTGTGGCCAACAGCAGACAAGGGAGTGGTGAGGCTTTTATCATGTTATAGCACTGCTTGCTCCCCTGACTGAATGACCAGGTGCCCATCTCTGGCTTGGTTGGCAGCGGACAGTGAGACAGCTCTAGTTACGAGTCGGGAGCTAGGTTCAAACTCGTGCTTCTGGAGCTGTTGCAAAATGCCTTGACCCTCTGTCCCAGGTCTGAAAATATAGACTCAAATGTTTAAAGCAGCAAAGCTTAGCAGCATATGATCGGGGTTGGGGGGAGGGGTGTTGAGCTTTGCAATTTAATGCTTTCGGTTCTCTTGGCTGCATTAGCCATATGCTTTAATATTAAACCCTACTTTGTTTTACAGCACCTGCGTTGTACACAGGGGAAGAGGTGATCAGTAATTTAAAATTATTGATGTTTCATTGGAAGCATTTTATTTATTTATTGTTTAGTGCAGTTGTTCCATGAGACCCAGTCTTTGATCCCTAAATAGAGCATTTTCACATGTAAGTTCATGGTGAATGCCAGATATAAATAATAAAAAAAAATGAAATCCATGTTTGTAATGTGTGTTTTATAAGCTATGGCTTTGCCATCCTAGGTTATTCCAGAAGTCTTAATAGTTTTTTCTTCTCTTGAACTAAGTATGGACTAGAAGCCATGATTCACCGACACAGTGTGGGGAAAAATAGTGATATCCATCCTTGAACCACAGTCAGTCAGACAGAATCACTCTTGTATTTTTCTCTTACCAAAATGGATTTATTGAGAAGCACTGCAAGATCTCCCTCCTGCACGCGGGCTGAAGACTACATTTTGCCTAAAAAGAACTCCGTGTCAAACCTTTATAAACATTCATGTGTGCTGGTTTACACGCAGCAGAAATGCTTGCAAAGGTTGTTGCAAAACCCTGGTGCAAATGCAAAGCTATATTTTTACAACTGAATGCTGATGTTCCTTTGTGGGGAGGGGAGCGACATTTTTATTGTGAACGTAAATGTTTTGCAAGGTGTCACAGGTGTGACTGAATGTTTCCTGGAACTGAAATCGCATGGCCCTGTCTTGAGAACTTTTAAATCTATGCTCATCAAAACTAGGAGAATAATGGCAAATCGTGTTAGCGTATCTAACAAAAATGATTACTGGTCAGATTTCTACCTCTTCCCCCCACAAGTACAGCTTCCTAATTCTTTTATTTCAAACTGACAGCTAAGCGGTAGAAATGCATGTATACGTTGGATACAAATTTGGAGTTTTTTCTCTTTAAACATCGCACTCCGTCCTCACCTGATAGAGCGTGCATTTATTCAAGGCAGAATTGTGGTTTCTGCTCAATCTGTTTCTGAAGAGTTCTGTAAAAGTTGCCTTGGGCCAGTTCCTAGCTCTGTAGATTCAAGCTGTCTGTAAATAATTCCACAGTGTTAATTAGCATTTTTCTAACTTCTAATTGAGGCATTAAATAAACAAGTTAAAGCGGCAGTGGTTTTTAATGATGAAGGAAGCATTTCTAGTAAAAGTAAAATTATGTAAAATGTGATGTGCTTTTTATCATGTGAAGTATTATGGTAAAATATGACTTGGGTATTTTCCTCACATTTGAGCAGTATTCAAAAGAGGAATGAATAGCATACTTATTTTTATGTGCATATAGTTGGATGCTCTTTTATAGACTCGGAAGTGGAGAAGTACTATCAAAGAGCATTTTTTAGTGTGTTAAAGCTACTAAGAAACGATAACTGTTTTTAAAAAAGCAATGAATACTGATAAAAGTTCAGACAGACAGTAAATATTGCACCAAAATGTTATGAATGTGCTCCCAGTGCTCAACATGAGAGCACAATTATTTGTCCTTGTCACTTGTCCTTCGGGCTGCATGGGTTTAATATTGTGCTTCCAAAAAAGGCAGGATTATTACCTACGACATTAATGCCTTGTGTAATAACTGAAAACTTCAAAATCGCAGCTAGTTTTATTCTTTCAGCATCATGAGTGAAACTAGATGTAGCCTCAGGCTCCTGTGAGCTAGGACAGTGTTGCAGTAACTAGGTTGTCAAACATGTGCATCAAAGCACAAAGAAATAAAAAGCTATGGGAGCTTTCTCTGGTGGTCCAAAGTTTTGTAAAAAACGTTACCTTTTTTTTTGTTGTTAAAAAAAAAAAAAAAAAAAAAAAAAGATTAATTGCAACGCCACACCAACTTGGACTTGCAAGATTCCTTTCCATGGGTGTCTCGATTTGCATTTCTTATATTATTTATACAAACCTAACTTACAAATAATGTCCCAGGTTATAGTTCTAAACTTGAAGTAGCCTGATAATTGTTGAGAAGAAATTAATTTGCTTTCAACGAGCTGGAGTCTTAGTGGGGTCGGCAACTACCTTTGCTTCTCTGCTGAAGAGTAAAATTGTGGTCCTTTGCGTTTCCCTGCATCAGCTAAGACGTACTGGATTTTCTTGAATCTGAAAATGTCGTGCCACCAAGTAGCATTTACCTGTCGTAGAAAACAAGTCCCTACAGCTGCACAGCTTACGTTTTTACAGTGTTTATGCATATTATCTTTGTTTGGATTAAAACAGCGTTGACCTGACTTTCGTTGTTTTTGTTTTCTAGAATTACTCCATGGCAGTCTATCTCGTAAAACAGCTGTCCTCTTCCGTTTTGCTACAGAGGTTAAAAGCGAAAGGAATAAGGAATCCTGATCATTCTAGAGCTCTGAGTATGTCCGTTTCATTCATATTTTTAACTAAAATCAAGATTCCTTTTATAAATATTATTTTCCTAAGTGTTTGTATTAGTGGTGAAAAGAGCTACTTTTGTAAATCTAACTCTACTCCCCGAATGCTGCTCCCTTTGTTATTCCCTTGATTCAAGAACTTCCTGATTCCTTCAGGAATTGAAACTTCTAGTGGACTGATTCGTGTGTGTCGGGAGATAGGTAGCTCTGTCACAACATTGTACAGGCAGTCCTCGGGCTTACGGCGGGTTACATTCCTGGAAAAGGCGCTGTAAGTCAAAATGATGTGGGTCGAATCTGATTTTCTCATAGAAACAATGTTATAATAGGGGTTATGTTCCTGACCAAGGGCCTGATGCCCAACTTTTTATAGACATGACCATTAACACCATATTTAAATCAGCTATTTAATCAACTATAAATGATATACACTGTACAGTACAAAGCTTTCTAAAGTGTGCTGTATATAAATAGATTAAGCAGGGCAATACAGTAACTAATCACACAAAATTGTATTTAATCAGAAGGTGAAGAACACATTCATCAGGGTCATGGAATTCAGAAGGGCTTCTGTGGGGAGATTTTGGGGAGGCTTAGGGCCACTTGATGGCTTTTTGAGAAACTGATCCAGGGTTGTTTGTTTTGCTGTCCTCTTGTTCACTAAATTTCCCTGTAGTGCCGTAAGTGCGAGGATCCAGCGCCGTAAGTAATAACATGGGTGTAAAGGGCAGAGCACCGCAAGTGCAAATCGCCGTAAGTCGAGGACTGCCTGTACTGTGATCTCATAACACCAAGGGTTCAACTTTGCTACTTCCATATCTATTTTCCCCAACTACTTGTGTTGCCTTTCGTAATTTTTTTAGGCAAGCTTCATAGACCTTTCTTGTGCAAAGGATGAGAAGAGCCATAGATTTGAGAATTCAAAGACCTTTGCTTTTATTAGGAGTCATCTGAAGGTTACAACATGTCCAGGGACACATGTCACACACATGCCTTGTTTGAGCTCTGGCTGATGGGTCCCTTGGGGCTCTTTCAAACTGGGGGCCCAGGGTTTGGGCCCTATTGGCGGATGTCTTAGGATGGCATCTCATATCAGCATAGCAGGGTGAAGACTTTGGCTGGCAACTTCATTCCTCTGGCACAGTGCAACTCTCTGTCGTGAGGGTGAAGCTGTAGTATGTAGGAAGTAGCTTTCTTGGGGACCAGCCCAGGATCATGGAATGAACTCCCAAAGATCCAGGGACCAGCCCAGTCCTTGCCACTATCCAATGCAAGTGTTTTCTCTACCATTAACACAGTTGCTCTTCGTAAACTCGGAAGCAAACACTCCAGTGGGCACGCTGCTTCCCCCGGGGGCAGGATGAAAGAACAGGCAGATTTTTTTCCTGTTACTTAATGGCCAACTGGAAGGCTCTCGGATGGCTAAGAGCACAAGAATAAGTGTATGTGTCCCTGTTGGAGAGGACAATACGAACCCCAGTAAATGCAGAGGACAAGTAACAGTAAATGCCCGTGTGTTATCAGACTGTGCCAAGGTAATACTGTGTTTTGAGATTTAAGCCTGCAGAATAGCAAGCATTTCAGCGATGGTTTCCAAACCACTCTTCCCTCTCCTCTCCCCCAATGGACCTGCGCACGTAAAACCTTGTGAGCGCGGTGAAACGGCCTTAATAAGACCAGCACTGAAAACGCACAGTCTGAGGAAGCAGTTAAGGTTCACAGAGCAAATCTAAGTTGGACTCACCCGGTGCTTGTATGTTTAAAACCTGACGGTTGCATAACATGTTATAACTCACAGACAGAAATAAGTAGAGGGTGGGCAGGGGGTTTACAACAGCAGCGCTTATACAGGTCTGTCATCATTAAACCTAATGCCTGTCATGCTCTTCACTTTTTGTTCTGCAATCTTTTGAATGCCCCTAAAATCATGGGCTCACCCAGCGTCTCTATCAGAGGTGCAGAGTTGCTAGGCTACATGAGAATTTAATTAACTTGGCATTTTTAAATGGGCCAGTGATTGACTAATTACCTTGACACAGCTTTATTAGAGTTTGTCATTGTAAAATGACTTACCCAGGATGTAGCATTTTAACATGTACATAATAATTTCTTAGAAATGAAGCATTAAATGTATGCTTGCCCGCTTTTTGAAGAGTTTTAAGTTTGTTTTGCCTTTCATGGTACATCATAGACATTATTGGAGAGAAGAGACTATTTTTCTTTACCTCTTCAGGCTGAAGGAGTTGGCTACAGTATAATTACTGTTACTGATTTTCTATAGACATAGCCAACAGACGGTTTACAGCAGATTACTTTGAGCCTGTTTATTTTCTGCCTCATTTGGTGACATGCACATGACAAACTTTGTGTTTCTCTGTCTCTTGAAATGACAGTTAAAGAGAAGCTGACTGCAGACCCAGACAGTGAAATAGCAACAACAAGCTTACGAGTTTCTCTTCTTTGTCCGGTAAGCGATGGCTCCATAAACATTGATTCTGGTGAAACGGAAGTGTTTCCGGCATGATTGAGTTTGAATTGGTCCTGTTAAAATCTGTATCACTTGCGAGCTAAGTGTATGGGGACAGGATCCATATCATGGGATCTAGCCACACACTTAATAAGCACATGCTTGATTTGAGCAAGCAAGTATTGCCATGGACACAGCTCACATAATTCATAGGCTATACATTAAGCATTTCAGCACGTTGCTAGATCAGGCCTTAAAAGTGGACAGTCTGCCTTGACAGCTTAACTCCGCAGCGACTGTATTGTGCCCAGGCACTGTCAGCAATGGACCAGCCAGATCTGGGGAGAGGATCACAGCAGCTTTTAAGCACACAAGTCCCAAACCATGATCCAACTTCTGCTGAGCAGTTTTTTGAGAGAAGAAATCTTGTACTCCAATCCTGCTCCCTGCAGCGCTCACACATTATAGTCACTGGATAGACCGAAGTAGTCCAGAAAGGAGGGATCAGAAACAGGTCTGCCACCTCCCACTTCAGTTCCTCAGCCACTAGGCCACGGTGTCATGCCTCTTGCTTGCTTGCTGCCTCTGGACCGTGTGAATGTGGGTGGGGAGCGATCCTGCCTATCCTAGTGCACGGCTTTGTTTAGGGAGATGCGAGTGTGAGGAGGGAATTCGGACCAGAGCTCCCACATCCTGGGCAAGCTTTTTAACCACGGAGCCGGGATGTCGTAGGTGAGATGGAGCCGGGATACCATAGGTGAGATGGAGCTGGGATACCATAGGTGAGATGCCGTTTTAAGAGAAGAAATGCTGCTCAGCTATTCCGAAGAGTTCTCATTGCTCTCTACCCTGAAGAGGCAATCCTGGGCTCTGGATTCTCCCGTGGGTTTTTTGGGCTGCCTGACTCTTCCTGTGCTTTGTACAGGGAAGCAAGGCCTTTGGATTCGAGCTGTGGCCAGGTTCCAAAAATTAGGCAGTCTGGCACCCTAGTCTTTCTCTGCGTCTAGCCCATCTGGTTATGAATTCTCCTTTGACCAAGCTCCTGGCGCCAGGGAGTTTCTTCCCTTTAAACTGAACTGGACGTATACGTGCCTGCACTTCAGTGGGAGTCTGTAATGTTTCTGATTAAAGACGAATCAGTATTCCAGAGAATTGTAGAGGGGTCAAAATAGGCAAAGTTGCCAAATTGGTGTGATCTTCCTTTTTAGGGAGCCAGTAGTGCAATAATCCTTGAGTTCCATAATTTAGAAATGAGATTAATGTACCAGAACAGACTTTTTTTTTTTTTTTCCAATCAGGTGTTTTCCAAGGTGGGAAGAGCTGGAAAATGCAGGAAGTAAACAGAGGCAGACAGGGTTCTTTGGGTGAATCTGATATCTTTTATTAGACCAACTCAAATAGTTGGAAAAGCTTTATCTGTGCAGGTGTGATCGTTCTGATTACCCTTAGCTGAGGGATACTAAGACTGGAATTATATAAACTTGAATTTTGTGTCTTTTAGTATCTTAATTATCCCATTAAATTTAACGTGCTTTTAAATATTTTGTGCTCTCTTTCATTGATCGGCAAAACGTCTTCACTGTTGCGAAAATTTTAAACTCTCTCGCGAATAAGGATGCATCTGTTTCCTGATTTGGCTAGATGCACTCAGGCCTGACGCTGCAAGGTTTCAGTTTTGAAAGCTAAATCTCAAGTATAAAGCCGACTTATTCTCTTCCCAGCAGAAGGCTTATTTGTCAGGTTACCGAATGTCCTCTTGGATTCTGACAATGCAAAGCTATATTTTTTGGATGAAAAATCTTCACATTACCAAGAACAGAAGTCATATGTTATAGGAATATGTTTGTGACAGATTGTTACAGACTTAACTGCTGGATATTTTTGTGATGTTAATCTTCATTCTTCACTCTGCTGTGGATTTTTGCACATACCAGCTGTGACAATATTGAATGCTTAATTTACCAAATAAAATTATTAAGCAAGAGAGGATGCTGAGGTGTTCCATTTATAAATAGCAGAATCATGTTCTTAAGAGCTTGACATATCAGCTTAAAGGGTTGAGTCAAGAACACTGTTGTTAGATGCTAAATTACCTTGGCAGCTTTTATTTTGATGAGCTTTTATGTATTTAAGGTTTTGTTGTTGGGACCTCCTTATTTTAAAAAATATTATCACTGTGCTGTCATGGTTTAGTTCTTTAAGAACAGTGCTTCTACTACTTAAAGACTGATTAGGTTCCCATGCGAGCAACAATAATCATCCGTTAATGGGAACTAAATAAATAATTTTTAGGAGTTAACAGTGGTCGTATAGGAGTTCAGTCACTTCAATTAATCCATATGCATCTCGGGGAATTACAGATGTTTATTTCAGGAGAAGTTAATTGCCTCTCGCTGGTACTTTGGGTAGTTTATAGAAATTTCAGTTTTGGCTTTCTGAAAATGATGCATCTGTTTGTCTTCCCCCTTGATATACAGTCCTTCCCTTCTGATGCTTCTTATTCAGACTGATTACTATTAGAGCAGGGATAACTTCTGCAATACAGCCTCTAGGACTGTAAGCCTTAGGATATCTAAATTAAAATTGTTTTCTGAAAAGGTTATTTTGGGGGTAAAAATGAAATACCAGCCTAGCTCTGAGAAACAGCTATTGTGAAATGTTTTTTACTTCTCAGTCCGTTTCCTTTTTCTGTCTTTACGCTTTAGCCTTTTCTAGCAGACAGAGCGAACTGAAAGTTTAGAGCAGATTATTTCAGGCCTGTTTATTTCTGTATCATCCTGGTGATGTGTACATACCATGCAAGCGTTTGACTGTCATTTTTTGAATGTCCTCATTGTTCAGCTGGGTTTCAGGTTCTTTCACTGTCCCTTTTTAAAACTCGGCTATTGCAAAAGTGTTGAAGATAAAGCCCATGTCTTCTTACATGTACTGTAAAGTGGTTAATAAACAGATGATGGAGCTCAACCATTCTCAGCTTACAGCATTTATGGTAGAGAATACAGCTGTGTTTTAACCCCCTTGTTTTCAATTTGTTAACGCGTGCCATTGAGCTCCAGACGTTTTCCATGTTGAGTCAAGACATGAGAAATTAATGTGCCTTCACACACAAAAAGACGTATTTTGCTCTCCACTGGCAGAACCAAAACACACGCTGCACGGGATGTATTCAGCCCTATGCGATTAAAACTTGTGGCTAACAGCCTGCTTCTGCAGCCTCTTAATTGCAGATATTTTTGCGCATGTATGTGGCTTCAGAAGAATACATTGGGCTATGTCTGAGTGAGGACTGCAGGTTTAGGCCCTGATTTGGAGAGCAAAATAAATTTTCTAAGGAAGCGAAGATGTTCTGTGAACAGGTACGGAGTTAGTGACCCTTGCCCTCCTCTGTGACACTAAGTAGAGACCTGGGAGGAGCTGTGCATGCAGCCCGTCTAGCGCCACCTGTTAGCATCCAGCAAGCAGAGGAGCTGCACCTCCGTTATGAATTTGCATGAGGAAGTTTGAACACACACAATGTTATATCTCAGAGCACAGGAGCCTGCAGGAGAGGGCAAAATAAGAGGCTTAAAAATGGCAAATCCACCAGTTACTCTGTCTTCCCAGTGTTCTGCAAATTCTGAACTCAGTTTTCAGGTATTTTTGTGAAGATAAAACTGCTTTTACATTCACAGTGCAAATCAATGCCATGTTGTCTTGTTAGACTGAGGAGCGACACCAACCAAAACAACAGCAAGAGCATAATGGGGCTTTGAAAAAGATGTATTTAAAAAAAAAATACCAAAACAGGTTTGAGCTTTTTTTGCTTCTTTTTCTTTAGCAGTATTGACCCAGCTTGGCCAGACTGGAGGAGCTGACCCAGTTAAGGTCACCTGCCAAAAGCTGGGAAGAGAAGCTGTTGTTTAACTTGTCTGTGTTGCACCTTCTGTGTCTTTACCTGTATATTTAAGTATTATTACAGCCTGCTGCTACCCATAAATTATAGGGGCAGCACGGATGTGTTCATGTTATTCTGAGGAGGTTTGTTAGCTTGGTGCATGTGTTATGTATTAAAGAACATCTTACGCACATTTTATACCACAACACTTGTTAAACCACATAGCAGATTTACATCTCTCTTATTTCCTGGAGGGTTTTGTGTCATAGCAGTATGTGCTTCGCTGCTCTCACTGTTTTGTGTGCATCAGATGCAAGCATCCAGGTTGCGTCTCCAGCACACCACCGCCTGGAGTTGGAGAATTGTATTGTTCCCCAAAGACAAATGAGCCATTGACCTACCATCTGGGAGAGACACATTTGGAACAGACGTAGATCAGGGGGACTTGCATTGTTGGGGGTTGACTGTAGGGCAGAAATAATGTGCTTGATCACGGGTATGGAGGGAAGGGTTGCCAAACACGTGGTGTGTACAGCACCTCCTCCTGACTGATCCCTGGGCCAGCAGTATTGCAGACTCCCCCGGGAGTGCCTTGCCTCCCCTCCCATCTGGTGTTGAGTCTGATAGTCATCGAAGGCTAAAGGGAAGAAAACTAAGCTAGATGAAGATGAGAGAAGCCACACTACAGAGGAACATGGCCGAGAATGAGGGAGCAGGCATTTCAGTCTGCATGAAGGTTTCTGCAGATAAGCTTTGCGAGGGATGTGGTGGACTGCAGGTAGAGCCTTTGTTCTCTGGGTGGTGGTTGCAGCTCCCGTGATCGTCTGAGAGTGAGTGCCATCCTGTGGCACCCACCCTGCACTGCTTGTTGCCAGTATGCACAACCAGGTTGTCTTCAGAAACCATCCTGAGCACAGTTTTGGCCACTCTTGCTAGAGAGCCGGGTGAATTTTTTTTAGACCAATAGCTCATTCCCATAAAAGTGCAGGTTTTTTGTCAACCAAACCCGTTTGGCAACTTGCACGTAATTCAAAGCGTAGCTAAAAATGAAGAACTCTTAAGTATTGTGGGTTTTTTTTCAGAACTTCTATTTTGAAATAATTTGTGTAGAAATGTGCTTAGTTGAGAAACTGGGAGGAGGGAAGCACTGCCCCCCCCCCCCCCCCCCCAAAAAAAAAGTTTTTTCTTTCTGGTCAATCAAAACAATGTTTTGTTTTTTCGTTTCATCAAGGAAAACCGAAACACTTTTCATTTCAGGTTGACCAAGAACAAAAATAATGTTTGGCCAGTGGACTGAAAGATAATGCAGTGCATTTAACTGATCTTACTTCAGCGTTATAACCTGTAATAAATTTAGGCTTTTGGTCGGCTTTGAACTATGAGTTAACCACACTGAGATTTTTTTGCCCTAAAACGTGTGTGTGATCCTGTGCTTAGTTTAAACTAGTGATTCTCAACCCTTTTGGGCTCAAGGCACCCTTCCCGAACTTTTGGGAATTGCGAGGCACCCAATTTCAAAACCTGGTTTATCTATTACAGAGCTTACATGCTTGCAAAGGGGCCAGGCAGGGCAAGTGGGGGAGTTGGCCAGGCAGGGACAAGCCTGAGCCTGCCCTTATTTGCTTATCTGGCACCTCCTTTCTCTCTGCAATGCCTTTCAAAGGATCTGGGAGGGCCTGATTTGAGAATCACTGGTTTCGGACTTCATTTGCGCTATTTTATGGGAAACAGAATCAATAATCTTGATGTTCCGGTTATTGGTGGTTGATCTGAATTAGCATCTAGGATCCTTGACTTCAGGCAAAGTACAGATGCATAAGAAGAACGATCTCTACCCCAGGCACTGTGATTAAAGCTCATCTTTTTATGTAATTGTTCCCAACATATCTATAGCCGTGCTGTAAGGTTGGAAGTGACCTACGTTTGGAAAGAACTGGCAAACCAGCTATAGTTTGCAATATAATTGACAGCAAAAAAGTGCTAGTAGTTTAGGACTGCATGGGTGCATCTGCATCTAGATGTGCTGTTAGCATGCAGCAATAAACTCCGGTGCATGTTGCGCCAGAGTTTATTGCTTCTGGTTGCACTGTTTGAGCATTTACCGAGGACTGCAGTATGTTGAGCTGGGTCAGAACAGCCCTAGATGGTGTGGGGGGGGGCCAGTCAGCCAGCCCAGGGCTGCTCCAACCCCCCTCAGTGTGCTGCAGAGGGGCTGGATGGGGCACGAGGATGCTCCAGTACAGGGCTAGCGGGCAGGCAGGCAGGCCCCCCCTCACTGAAGCACTGTTGTGCCCCAGCCAGCCATGTCAGCGCCTGCATGTGCGGTGTTGAGGAGTAAAAAAACTCTGCCATGGGATAGGGGCCAGGAGGCTTCCCTGGCTGACCGCAGAAATCCAGGGCAGCCTAAGGGCCAAAAGGGGAGCACATAAAAAGTGGAAACAGGGAGAGATCGCCAAAGACGAATATACCTCCTCTGCTCGTGCTTGTAGGGAGGCAGTTAGACGGGCCAAAGCTACCATGGAGCTGAGGATGGCATCCCAAGTTAAGGACAAGAAATTGTTTTTTAGATATATAGGGAGTAAAAGGAAGGCCCAGGGAGGAATAGGACCCCTGCTAAATGGGCAGAAACAATTGGTGACGGACAGGGGGGACAAGGCTGAACTCCTCAACGAGTTCTTTGCCTCAGTGTTCCTAAGCGAGGGGCACGACAAGGCTCTCACTGGGGTTGTAGAGAGGCAGCAGCAAGGCGCCAGACTG